ATTAATACACATATTGTTTTGTGACATTGGGTACCAACCCTACGACATGTCAACACTCTCCCTTCTCGAACTTGGGTTCCCTATTTTCAGCTTTCCTGTCCCCTCCTGCCATCTACGTCTTGCCCCTGGGCTGGTGTGCCCCTTTAGTCTCATTTTGGTTTTATGGCACTGTCTAATCTTTGGCTAAAGGGTGAACCTCAGGAATGACTTCATTACTGAGCTTAAAGGGTGCCTGGGGGCCATACTCTTCGTGTTTTGTTCTACGTTTGTGTCAGACCAGTTAAGTCTGGTCTTTTTTTGTGAGTTAGAACTTTGTTCTACATTTTTTTCCAGCTCTGTCGGGACCTTCTACTGTGATCCCTGTCAGAGCAGTCAGCAGTGGCAGCTGGGCATCATCTAGTCATAATGGACTCGGTCTGGTGGAGGCTGTGGTAGTTATGGTCCATTAGTCCTTTGGACTAATCTTTTCCTTGTATCTTTGGTTAACCTGTTCTTTACCTGGTTAACTCTTACTCATCCATCAAGGCTCAGCTCCCAAGCCATCTTATCTGTGAAGACTCAAACCCCCCGGGGCTGAGTTAGTCACACTGATGGTTACTTTTATGTGTCAACTTGGCTAGGCTGTGGCCCAGCTGTTTGCTCTAGCAGTAGTCTGGATGTGGCTGTGACAGTATTTACACGTGGCTTTAAATTAAGCAGGTTACCCTTCATAATGTGGGTGTGCCTCATCCAACCAGCGGAAGGACTTAAGAGCAAAATCTGAGGTTTCATGGGGGAGAAAGATTCTGCCTTAAGACTGAAACATAGAAATTCTGTGGATTTTCCAGCCTGTTGCCTGGCTTAAGGGTTTCAGCCTTGCCTTCCCCAATAATCACGTGAGCCAATTCCTTAAAATAAATCTTTCTATCGTTGTTGTTAGTTACCATCGAGTCGATTCTGACTCATGGCACCTCCGGGTGTACAGTGTAGAGCTGTGTTCCATAGGGTTTTCAAGGCTGTGACCTTTTGGAAGCAGATTGCCAGGTGTTTATTCCGAGGCACCCCTGAATGGGTTGAAACCGCCAACCTTTTGGTTAGTGCTTGAGTATTTAACTGTTTGTGCCACCCAGGGACTCCACTTCTCTCTCTATATGTATATATTTTATTGGTTCTATTTCTCTGAAGAATGCCGATTAATGCAGTCACGCCCGCCTCTGTGCTCAAACAAAACTTGTACACACTTGCCCTGTTACAGGACATTCACTGCTGTATGATGGGACTCGGTTTATAAATCTGTGTCCTGCATAAGACTATGAGTTCCTTAAAATCATTTCTCTTTCTTCCTTTATCTTAGCATTTAGCAATGGCCTACTATACAGTGGGTTATCAAAAAATGTTTGGTGAATGAACCAATTAACTACAAGCATCATGGTGTCTGGGACCAAATCTTTCTTTTTCGTACCCAGAGGCTACCATAACACAGAGGAGGCACTCAGTTGATATTTGAATGAAAAAATCAACTGGATCATCATGGTACCAGGCAAACCCCACCATACAGCAATTGCTATGGTTCACTCCTTAATATGTAGGCAGTGGTCTCAGCAACATCAACTTGGGATTTCTTGGTGCTTAATAATTTTGTTTCATTTAGAGGTAAACCCTAAGTGCTCTTGGTTTCTTCCTGATCCCATTAAAAAAAATCATCTGAAAATTAAGTGTCATGAAACTGGATACATAAGAACACACCCCTATTGCATTGTAAGCCACTGCCTCTGTTTATAACGTAATATACTCATGTTTTTAGATTTGAGAACCGTTTAGTTATCACCTACATTCACTAAGAATGGAAAATAAAGCTACTTGCCTTTTTATAAGTATCGCTATAGTGGGATTCAATATATCGTAATTCAAAAATGACTTTTCATTGATGGAGACCAAGTGGAAGAAGGGAGGTCAGATGTGTCCGAGGAGACCTGGCTGCCTCGACATGGCACCATTACCTGCTGGCCTGGCTTGATGGGGGACAGAGTGATGCCCTGGGTGTTGATCACTGGCAGGATCTGGTTCCCGATGACTGTGGCGATGATCTGGCCCTGTGCGTTTGTCAGGAGCTGGGGGGTGATTGGCTGCACCTGAAGGCCCTGAGTGCCGCTCGCCGCTTGGCCTGATGGCCCCGGACTAGGCATCAGTGGGATGGTCCCAATTATCTGCAAGAGATAGTCCAGAGGTGAGGAGCCGGCCCTGTGCTGGTGTGCACTTGCATGAAGACCCCGCCAAGCCCCGTCTCTGGGGGATGCTACCTGAAGCTGACCAGAAGCTACAGAGGGGGCTGGAGATGCGGGTGTGGAGGAGAGTGACAGGGGACGCCCCTGTGAAGAGGAGACAAGGACACATGGCCTAGGTTCATGTGAGGGAAGGGAAGAAGTCTTTAAAGGATACAACAAATCACTGGTAATGGCATAGACATGTGGTTTCTGCCAGGCGGCACAGACATCTCCTTTTTCTCAGAACCAGAGATCGGGAGAACTCCCCGAGGCACTCAAGGCCCTCATCTACCTTGGAGGCGCATACCTGCTCCTGAGTGCTCCTCACACAACGAGCTCCATTGCGTCTGTTCCTCCACCTGCATTCTCCTCTGCTCTCCCCATCCCTTCACCAACATCATGCTCTCTCTTAAGGTCAGGGGTTGACTCCCCTGGGTGGCTCTCCCTGACACTCCAACAGGATTACCGGAAGACCAGTTGCTGTGGAGTTTATTCCAACTCATGGCGACCCCATGTGTGTCAGAGTAGAACTGTGCTCCGTGGAGTTTTCAGTTGCTGATTTTTTGGAAGTACGTTGCCAGACCTTTCTTCCAAGGCACCTCTGGTTGGATTCGAACCTCCAACCTTTAGACTAGCAGCCAAGCATGTTAATCGTTTATACCACCGAGGGACTCCCCAGTAGGATTAGGGCCCTGTTACAGCACCAGCATCTTCATGGTGGTTGAGAGTCCAGACTCTATAGTCAGAGAGACGAGATTCCATTCCCAGCTGTGCCACCTACTTGCTGTGCAACATTTGTCAAGGAACTCAAGCTTTCTGAAGACTTGGGCAGAATTAGGATTATAACAAATCTTTGAAACACTTAAAATAGAGGTGAAATGACTATTGAGGATTGAAATCAGGAAAAAAAGTCAATTTTAAGTGATATGTTTTAATCTGGGGCTTAAAGGTTAGTGGTTCTGGTGGCAGGATGGCTCTTCCATGCTGTCCAGTAGCCTCTGGGCTCAGGCGTCCCTGGGTGGCACAAATGGTTGAGCGCTCAGCTACTAATCAAAACATTGGCAGTTTGAACCCACCCAGAGGCTCCTTAGAAGAAAGGCCTGGAGATCTGTTTCCAAAAGGTCACAGTCAGGAAAACCCAGCACAGTTCTAGCTGAAACACATAGGGTAACAATGAGTCAGTGTGGAGACTGATTTTAGCCTCTGGCCTCAATGAATGGATTGTGTGGACAGTCAGCAAGAGGGGCTTGGCTGGACCCAGTTACTGTGCTGAAGACAAAGGGAGCGTGACGGGACAGCAAATGGGCAGGGTGTCTATAATGCATGGAAACGGAGACCAACGTACGTACATTGTCAGGGGCAAACTTAATCTGTGAGAACCTAAAATATGAGCTATACTTCCAGACTTATGGAGTCTCCTGACAGGGAGTCGTGGAGCTCGCTCTGTGACCCTTACGCCCCTCTGTGCACTGTAGGATGGTTAAGCGCTCTACTTGGCTTCTGATTTCCAGGGCAGCCTCTCAGACATGCACTGAGGTAACGTATTCCAGGGGCCGCCAAGGCCTATTACCTCAGCAAGTGTTTTTACATATAAGGTTTGATTTCACTCTATATTCTTACTTCAACTCTATGAAGCAGATATTAGTCAAACTTTCATTTGAAAGATTAAAAAATAGGGGCTCAGGGAGGTTAACTGACTTGACCGAGGTCATTCAGCCTCTGAGCTGGAACTGGAGTGCTGGTGGTGCAGTGATTTAGAGCTCGGCTGCTAACCAAAAGATCAGCAGTTCGAGTCTACCAGCCACTCCTTGGAAACCCTGTGGAGTAGTTCTGCTCTGTCCTGTAGGGTTGCTATGAGTTGGACTTGACTTGATGGCAATGAGTTTGGTTTTGTTTGTTTTTTTGGTGAGCTGGAACTAAGGAGCCCTGGTGGCACAATGGTGAAGTGCTTGACTGCTAACTTAACAGCTGGCGGTTCGAAAAGACCTGGTAATCTGCTCCTGTAAAGATTACAGCCTAGAAAACCCTATGGGGCAGTTCTACTCTGTCCTATTGGGTTGCTATGAGTTGGAATTGACTCAATGGCTCAAACAACAAGCTGGAACTGACGTCCAAGTCTGGCTGACCCCCCAAATTCCTGTTTTTCCATTGTGTCACCTGACTCCCACTGTGCGGAGGACATTGGAGGGGGCCAGCTCCTAGTAAAGGCTCCACAATCCTTTTTGCGGTCTCCCACTAGACGGGGTGTATAAATGATTCCATTTTCAATTCCCACAGTACCCTAAGCAAGGCCTCGAACATAGTTTCTCAATAAATGTTTTTTGAATGAATGAATGGTTTCTAGCCTCAGCTGTCACCTGGAACTGGGAGCCCAGGAGTACTGTGAGACCGCACTACTCACTGACAAAGAAACGGCCCCTCCTCACTTGGCGCGGTTGCTTCCACCACAAAAGCCCTGTGGGATGGTGCTAATGGAGGAACTGTGTGAGTGTCGGGTATCAATGGCAGTTCCGCAGTTGTCAATGCATGCTGATAAAGGTCAAGTAATTACTGGGAGAGTGGTCAGCAGTCCCTTAGGGAGTTGGCAGCCCTCAGTCTCACTGAGCGAGCCTGTGGTGTCTGCCCAGCCGCATCAGCAACAAACGCGTCCCACCCGTGTGAGCAAGGTCAGGAGGAGTCCACATCAATAGATCAGAGCTCATAAGTACTTTATTGATGAGTGGTCTTGCATTAAACAGCTCAGGATTCAAAGGCGGTTTATATGACCCCAAAGGCAATATAAGAGAGGCTGGGCGAGCGTCTACATCGGATAATTCCCCTTTCCACACATGCCCACAAAACTTGACAGTCAGACCACCCACCCCAACCCACCCACCTTGGCATACCCCACTTTCTGCGCCGTTGGAAGCGCCGCGCCATCTGATTGGCTTGGGTTGAAAGCCTGCGGAGGAAGCTGAATTCATTTACGTGGCAGGGTTGTGGGCTCTATTTTAGGCCGGATTTCAGTGAGTTTAGGCACCTGGGAGGACGCTTCAGAGGGAGGCAAGGCACGTGACAGTTAAGAGAACACGCTGGTGATGAAGAGAGCCGCGTTCTCCCTGCAGAAGATTGACACGAGTCTGCGCTCGCTTCGTTGGTAATGAGACGCTCTGCCGGCTTTCTGGGCGGAAAGAAGGCAGGCAAACGCGAGTCAGCGACTCACCAGCCTGCTTCCTAAGTACCACCTCGCTTCTCAACACTGTGCTGTGACATTACTAAAACATGGTGCCACTTATGTCCCACCCCACGTCGCTTCTCTTCTCTCGTAGGCCTCTGCATCACTTAACCAGGATCGGATAACGCTAATGTTGGGGCCAGATAAAGCTGTAATGGCATTACTGCAAGAGCCTTTCAATAAAGAGAGTTCAGGGTATGAGGTGAGGGCGGGGTCAGGAGAGATTCTAAAGTAAGGAAGCCTTCTGGGAAATTACGCATTTCTCATTTTTGTTTCCCTTGCAGGTGAGTTGGTATCAGCATCTCAGCGCGTCAAAAACTTGGCAGTTCACTGAAGGGAGTTTTGTAATATTCCCCAATGTGTAATAACACGCTGGTTTTAATTCGCTTCCATTCATTGAAGGGTGGAGATTATCTCACACTGTGAAGGATGGGCCTGTTTTACTTAGGCTGCTTCTTCCTCCTCCTAGCACGTCTACAGATCTCATTGAAACTCCTCCGAGGACTCTGACTTCAAAGAGATGGCAACAAGAGAAGAGGCAAGAAAAGGTCTGAGACTCTCAGTATTTACGAAAAGTTGGCAATTTTACCCGTGGAGATACTATTTTAAATTAAAGGCCTTTTGATATTCAAGGGAAGTATTTGCAGCTATACATATTTCAACTAAATCAGGAAATTAAAACTGAGGTTTTAATTTAGGAGGGGGTCTCTGATTTGAGGGTAAAGGTGGAAAGAGGATGCTTCTGAGACAGTTGCCCTAGCTTTTGGAGTTTGAGTTCCTGGCTCCCAAAACAAAACAAAATCAGCTTCTGTTGAGTGTATTCTGACTTATGGCAACTCCATGTGTGTCAGAGTAGAACTGTGCTCCACAGGGTTTTCAATGGCTGATTTTTTGGAAGTAGATTGCCAGTCTTTCTTCCGAGGTGCCTCCGGGCAGATCTGAACCTCCAACCTTTTGGTTAGCAACTGAGCCTGTTAACCATTTATACCACCCAGGGACTCCTCCTGGCTCCCAGAGCTAGGTATTTAGGGCCAGGAGAAGTCTCAATGGGAGGACATGTCACTGAGAAATCAAGACAAGTAGGCTATGACTCCTGCATGAGCCGTTAAATACAAAACACAAACACAAGTTCTTCTGCAATGCTGGGGACTGTGGCAGAGCAGCTAATACTTGCAGACCCTTCTCTCTGTAAGGCACTGCATCTTGTGCTGTTGAGGACTCCAAGAAGATGCCTTAGAGACAGAGGAGGGCATGGTAAAACAGGCACATCCCATGCAAATATTCTAACAATCCAAAAGAGGAAATGATAAGCCTCAATCCAGTGCCAAAGACTGTCTGATAGAAGTCTCTCTACCTACGTGGTGAGTGCTCAAAAGAATATTAGGGCATGAATGAGTGGCTTCAGGGGAAGAAAGGTGGAGGTGATTAGGAAAGATTTCACAGAAGAAATGGGGATTGAGCAAGATCTTAGACATTGGGTGGATTTGGCAAAGCAGAGAAAACATTCCGAACAGGAGACTAGGCTAAAGGCGAGAAACATGGCAGATGCTGAGCTGCTAGTCTGGGTACAAGAGAGAACAGAGATGGTGGAGAAGAGACAGTTTAGCGTGGAAGGGCCAATTCCATACAGCTCAAGGGAGTTGGATAAGGAGTTTTAGAATGGGGTGTGGTGGTGCTGAAATGAAGCTGTTTCCAGTGTAGGTAGAATGGACTGAAATAGAAGAGAGACTGCAGGCCAGGAGATCACTAGCTAGGTTGCTATTGTAGTCTCTAAGTGTGAAGCAAAATGCCTCAATGAATCCTTGACATCAGGGTTGCCTGATTTGTTGACTTCTGCTTCAATTCAAAAAGCACTATCTACTATATGCCTAGGTTGCAACATTAGAAATTTTTGATTGAGGTTATTGCCCCATCAATATCATGGCAAATGGCTCAGGCACCGTTTACGATGATCCTCTATGTCTTTGCCCTGACTCACCAACAGTAATGATTCATCTCTGATGAATGCTTGAAATAGGCAGAGGCCCACACTGGCATAGTAATGATAATTTGTGACTTAAAAGAGTTCCAGGCCTCTCGGACAGGGGACTTATTTGGTTGTTGCTGGTCATGTCCACCTGTCTCTTTACGTGGGTTAAGAGCATAAATCACAGTGGAGGAATAAAGTCAATGTTGCAAGAACAACTTAAAAAAAAAATCACTAAAAAATTTTTTTTTCATTAGCACACATATTTTAAAAATCCCTATTCCCCTAAGAAGTTGGGTGGCTTACACATAAATGTAGCAATCATTAATTCAGCAGCAATTATAATTAAAGCCATACCCATTGCCATTGAGTCAATTCTGACTCACAGCGACCCTGTGGGACAGAGTAGAACTGCCCCATAGAGTTTCCAAGGAGTGGTTGGTGGAGTCAAACTGCTGACCTTTTGGTGAGCATCCATAGCTCTTAATCACCGCACTACCAGGGCTCCAATTAAAGCCATGGTAAAGATTATTTTGTGATTAGAGCAAAGCCCAGGAATTCAGGGTCCCATGCTCCTTTGGATCACTAGGTTATCTTTACAATGCCCATACGGACCTCCGTTTAGTTGAGGTGTTCAGTAGGGATGAATTATGACTGATGGAGGGTAAAGTGCTCAGAATTTATTCACTGTCACATGTAGGTGCCATTAGCAGCAGCCTGAGGGTGGCTTCACAGAACCCAGGGCACCCAGACAAGTGGTCTGATGAGCCACATGTCATAATAGCCTATGACATGCTGTTAAACTCTGCTACAGAGAATGGAATTGCAGGTGTCAAATTGACAAGTAATTTTGTGGCACATATCTTTAAGAAAAGGAAACCCGCCAATGCTATAAATCGGTGAATTCCTCAGGTCTTTCAATCTCTCAGCAGAGACAATTCTTTCTCAAATATTTGTGTAACCTCAGCACTCTTTGGTCAAGAGGCTTTTGTTAACATAGCATCATCTTGAACAAAGAGCTTCTAGCATTTGAGACAGCTGAGTTGCTGGTGCTGAGCCATCGCCAGAAGGGAAATCGCCGATCACCTTTCCCTTCCTTTCTGGTCTGGCCACGGCCACTTGTCTCTCTTCTTCCAAGTGATGATTTTATCTTCTTTATATAATACATTTATTCTAAGCTCATTGTGTTCCCAGGCTTAAGGTCTGTTATAGGTTGAACTGTGTTCCCCAAAAGTTATTATGAAGTCCTAACCCCTATACCTGTGACGTGACCTTGTTTGGGGAAAATAGGGTCTTTCTTCAAAGATATCATTGATTAAGTTGTACCAGAGTAGGATGGGTCCTAAGCCTAATTCCTTCTGAGTAGTGTCTTATAAAAAGGGACAACAGACGTGGAAACAGAATCACGGGGGAAAACCCACGCCATGTGATAGTGGAGCCTGGTGCATCTATAAGCAGCAAAGGAACACAAGGATTGCTGGAAACCATCAGAAACTAGGACAGAGGCATGGAGCAGTTCCTCCTTCAAAGCCCCCAGAAGGAAATGACATGGCTGAGATGCTGATTTTGACTTCCAGCCTCCAGAACTGTGAGACAATAAATTTCTGTTCTTTAAAGCCATCCACTCTGTGGTATTTACTTATGGCAGCCGCAGGAAACTAAGACCAGGCTAAAGGCTATTCACTTAGAGTTACTCTGGGGCTCCAGTTAGGACCTTGATTCCAGGAAGGGTAGGAGAACACATCTATTTCCCAAACAAAATTTACTTTTCTAAGACACTCCTGGTGCCTTCCCGTATTTTGCTATGTCTAAGTTGGAGAACAAGAGGAGCGTGAATATTGGGAGAGAATCTACATCAGGGAATGGTAAAGACATGAAGATAAGCAGATGAAGGAGATCAATGAAAGGAAAATGCTAAATCAAGGAGCAGTTAACTGGTTGCCATAGAGTTGACTCTGACTCATGGTGACCCCATGTGTGTCAGAGTACAACTGTGCTCCACTGGGTTGTCAACGGCTGGAAGTATTTCAATGGCCCCAAAGAGATTTTGGAAGTAGATTGCCAAGTCTTTCTTCTGTGGAGCTTTGGGTGAACTCGAACATACAATTTTTGATTAGCAGCCCAGTCTATTCAATAACCATTCGTACCACCCAGGGGCACCAAATCAAGGACAAATGGGTTTAATCTTACAGGCAATGCCAATGGATTGTCTGTGGCTTCCTAGAACTCTGGAGGTTCCAGGGTTCAGGAGGAAATAGAGCCATGTCTGGTAGGGGTACGGAAATAGGAATGGCAGTGTGTCTAAAGGTGGCATCACTGAAGCGCAGGACATGAGACAAATTACCCTAGACCAACTTGCAAGAAATAGATGACACACATTTCTTTAATGACCATCAGTGAGAAATAATTTTTTAAAGTGTACATTTTAATGCTTATATTATGGGTGCTGACAGGTATTCCATCCCTGGGAATACCCACCGACTTGATGTTTTTCAATGTCAGTTAGAATGAGGATCCCTGCTGGGTGTTCTACTGTTTGGTTTTGACTTTAGAAATACACTCACACAGAGTAAAAAATTGGAAGTTCAAGGATCTTTAAAATGTCACTTCCTGTTACATTATGAGAAAAATAATTTGCATGAAAACTGATATTATAAAAACAGCAATAACAATAAAAATAGCCCTCACCCCTAAAAGCTTCTTAGAAGTCAGTAAGGATATTGCTCCTTAATATAGTTTAAGATGTATGTGGAGGAAAAGAATTCCCCACTGGCTTGGACTCAAAGGACTGGGTTCAAGCCTAGGCTTTGCCACTCACTAGTGGGATGGTGTGGGTGAATTCCTTCACCTCATAGATCCTCAGTCTGCTCGTTAATGTGAACTTCATAAGGTTATTGTGAAGACTAAATAAAATTATATATGCACAGCACTCAGCACTGTACTTTATCAACCAAATATGTGTTCAATAAGTGTTCGTTCATAACTTCATTTTGCTCACATACTTGTTTGGTAACTTCTGGGCATTTGCACTGAGTAGCAAAGTCTCTTCTGAATTATTCTAAATGTTATAATCTCACCATAAGAATAGTTTACCACAGAAAACAGTAAACAGTAGTTTACCATGAAAAACAATTAAGATTTCCTTTTCCTGTAATGGAGTTCTAGGTTGGAAGTTTCCATAGTGACATCAAGATTCAAACAGTGCTGCATTCCACGGGGGCACTAGACCAAACAGGATTTACAAAGGAAGTTGCTGAAAACCAGTTAGACAATTCCAGAACTCAGATACCCACA